TGCCAGGAGAGGGGTGGGTAGCAAGTTCCTCAAGCAGAGTGGGTTGTCTCTCATCACTTGCCATGCCTGTCCAGGTGGACCGCTGCTCACAGAAAGCTACCTCCTGATTTGGTTGGAGGACCTTCATTTGGAGAAGCTCTCTCTTCCCCCCGCCCCACATACTATCAAGCAGGAGGTGGGCAGATTCTTCAACCTGAGGGCCAACCTGAGGGCCATGTCTGGGTTTCTGCACACTTTACAGGACTCCATAGGGGGCACGGGTGCTTTCTGTTTCCAGTGTCATAGACATTGTAAAACTCTTTGCACCCAAAATGTACTGCACAACATACTGGTTAACCATAGAGAGCCCATGTGGTGTAGTGTAGTAGTTACAGCAGAGGTCCTTTTTCAGCTTGTGGGCATGTTGGGGAAAATAAATACGAGGCTGGCGAAATTAAATCCTAGGGAATTAAATCCTAGATTTATTAGCTAGGCACAGCTAATAAATACTTGTACCCGAACCTCTTAACATGTCAAAACATTGCTGTAAATACAAGACTTTGATGAAGCTGTCCTCCGAGGGGGGGTTCCCCCCCTCTATCCATTCTAATAAAGACAACTAACAGTGCAGTCCTAAGAGCACTTTCCCCAGGAGAAAGCCCCACTGAATAAAATGGGACCTATTTCCAAGCAGACCCACCCTGGACCGCTCTCTAAATGTTTTCACTCAATATACCCTGGAGGAGGGCTTGTGTGATGGTACCTCTCTCTTATTTTATGTAGTTAGGTGTGATGTAGTTTTACATTTCTTCTTGTTTCTTTCGCTCAAAGTATCTATCGTTGCCACCAGGAATTTAATTCCAGTCTTTAATTAACCTTTCCCACAGTATTGTGCCCAAGCTCTAAGGCTTCTTCGTTGGACTATGTGGTTCTGAGGATAAGACTCTGGGTTAACAATAAACAAGACAAAACTTTATTGGTAAAAGAAGTGTATTGGTTACAAGATGTTTTGTTAAGTTGTTTAGCAGAATCTTTCCCTTTTACTCAGGTCTCTGCCAGCTTTTCCCCTCACACTCTTAAATAATCTTATATTAGATTTTTCCTAATATGCCCCCTTAAGTATATTCTCTTCCTCCTTTAGAATCTTAATGCCTTTCACAGCACTTCTATAAGATTCTAGTTAGAAGACTACTTCTCAGACTCTGCGTAGATTGACCACAACTGACAGCTATGGTAACACACACATATAACTTGAAATCATCACAGCTTGCAATGTTGGGATAAAATTTAACCTTTAAATATAAGAGATACTTTTATTTAATTTTCTTCTGCGTAGGAGAACAACTCAATTGGACTAGACACAAAGTTTCACTGAGATTTGGAATCCTGACACAGGGTGGTGGGCACAACAAAATGGCTGCCTTCAGAAGGCGGAGCCAAACACAAAAGTTCGGAAGCGAGATTATGCATAACTTTCTTAGTAGCTCTTCAACATTTTAGGCAGAAGCTCTGTTTAATAGGCTGCCTTTTAATCTGCGCAGCCAGTCAGAAGCCTTGCTGGGCACAAGCCCCACCTGATCCTGCCCACTTTCTAAAAACACTTGGCGGATATCAGGAAAAGTGTTGGTAGCCCACACGGACTATGCTGGGGACCCCTGGGTTAGAGTGCCAGGTTAGGACCTGAGAGACCCAGGTTTGAATCTCTGCTCTGCCATGGAAGCTTTTATTTATTTTGTTCTCATTCATGTCATTTATACCCTGCCTTTCTCCCCAGTGGGGACTTAAGCTGGCTCGCGCAATTCGCCTCTCCTCCACTTGATCCTCACAACAACCCTGTCAGGTAGGTTAGTGTGACTGGCCCAAGGCCACCCAATGTGCTTCCATGGCAGAGTGGGGGTCTGAACGTGGAACCTCCCAGATCTTAGTCCAACACTGTAACCACTATACCGCCGGGCTTCCTGAGTGACCTTGGACCAATAACACATGCTCAGCCTGATATACTAGTTGTGGTGAGGATAAAATGGAGGAGAGGAGAATGACGTGAGCGATGTTGAGGTCCCCCCCTTGGGGAGACATTCAGATTGGAGAGAGCCAGTGTAGTGTGGTGGTTAAGAGCGGTGAGCTCTAATCTGGAGAACCAGGTTTGATTTCTCATTCTTCCACATGAAGCCAGTTGGGTGACCTTGGGCCAGTCACAGTTCTCTCAGAGCTCTCTCAGCCCCACCTACCTCACAGGGTGTCTGTTGTGGGGAGAGGAAGGGAAGGCGATTGCGATCCGCTCCGAGACTCCTTCGGGTAGTGAAAGGCGGAGTATAAAAACCAACTCTTCTTCTTATAAATGAAATAAGTAAACCATAATAATTTGTGGTCTGATTCCACATCTCATCTAGGTCTAAGTTCAAATGAACACAGGCATTCTGTCCCCCCTTTGCTTTCCAGCTTTGCCAATGATCCTAAAATGTCCCCTCCTCCTTTGTGTTTATCCATTCTGCCTTTTTGCCTACCTAGGATTCCTGCCTCCCTTCAAACACCTATGGGAACCTTGCTCTGTCAATGGAAGGAGTTACAGGGCTAAATTCGTCTGATTTCCCCTTCCCTCTCCATGCTTTGCAGCTTTTTGTCCATGAGGCTCTCCCAGCGTTGTTGTTTTTTGGAGATCTTAGGGGGTTGCTGGCAATGTTCCCTCTAAGCTGTGGAGTCTTGTGAGCAAAAATTCTTCTTTGTGAGCTGCTGGCATTAAAGTTGTGAGCGAGCGATTTGGCTGCTGCATAAATTAATGTGCTCTGGAGCCATCCTTCCTGAGCGGAGACAAAAATGTGTGAGCCGGAGGCTAAGAGACTGTGAGCTAGCTCACACTAACTCAGCTTAGAGGGAACACTGGTTGCTGGGGAAAGGCAAGGAAAGATCCACCTCCACAAATTCCTTGTGCTGGTGGTTCATAGGATCCTACCCAGAATAACTGAAGAGCTTGTAGATACATACACCCAATGCATGTAAGACTTGTTTTGTACAGTTGATTTCCCAGATAAAATCTGGGAATTGACTGCACGGTCTGAGGCGTTGTAAACTGGATTGTCAGCACGTACACCCCGTTGAATGTTATGTTCCCCTTGAGGATGGCTAGTGGTACTGGAAAAAGGCAAGTACACTCCTATGCAAAGGGGAAATCTTTCATTATAAAAGCCTGTGCTCATCATTCTTCACACTGTAGCACAGGGGTTCCTAACCTTTTTTAAGCCTGTCGGCACCTTTAAAATGCTGACACGGTGCGGTGGGTGCAACCGCAAAATGGCTGTGCATGCAGTGGAGCCAACCACATAATGTCAGAAAGTGAGGTTATGCATTTATAGATGAATGTATTGTTTTACAATATTTTCTTGTGTACCCACAGCTTATCTTCACTCAAACAGTGAAGGTCCTCGTGCTGTGGGAGAAGCTGCCGCCAAAACAACATTTAAAAACTGCATTGCCAATCAGAAGCCTTGCTGGGCAAAAGCCCTACTAGACCCCACCCACTGCCTAAACACACATGGTGGGCACCAGGACAGGTGCTGGAGGGTGCCATGGTG